GGCTTGTTTTACAACGTCGTTGCCAAGCGACGAAAACCCAACCCCGATGGCAAACACCGGGGGGGGGGGCAGGGGCGGGGCCGATGCATGCGTACCGTATCCGTGGTTGCAGATTTATGTGAGGCTACATATACCTTCTGACGTCTACCACAACGCGCTAACAAGTGCATGCCAAACGGCACCGACGAAGTACAGCGGCTGTTGACACCTGCACCGGGTCAGTTGGACCAGTGCGGAATATTTGAAGGTACAACAGTACTGTGAGCGGAGACCGGAACGGTTCTTAGTTTGTGGAGACAACAATAACAACCACAACTGCCAGAGCTTGACTGATCAACAGTTTCCGACGAAACCACCAGTGACCCCACGTCACACGCCGATCGATCCCCCCCTCCGCCTCATTTCCGGCCCGCGCGGCTCTCTCACCGTCCACACGGCCGCGAAACCCAGAGACGCGCTCCCTTCTCCGTCGCTGTGCGCCGCCGACGCGCAGGCGCAGATGAAGGCGACCATCACCATGACGATCGATGTGAACCACGCATAGGCGATCGCCTTTTGCGGGTTCTTGTCGCAGGGCGCGCACAACGCATTTCTGATGCTCATGGTTGTTCCCCGTGGATACCTGGTGCACCGATTGGGTTCAGGAGGGCAGGAATGGAAGTGGGTGCTGTGCTGGCACAAAAAATAGAATTTCATGTCTACTCTACCTGCCCCTCTGCTGCCGTTTGCTTACAAGCTTGCGAGTTGTAAGCACCGTAGATCCAACTCGAGATCCTGACTGATTTGCTTTGTATATATATGGATACCACGTCGTCTTGACATTTGATATGTAGAAAGAAAGTTTGAAAAGAGAAAAAAAAAAACCTGTTACGGCATTGTATGGATACGGAGTTTAAGTCCTCGAAAAACGGTCGTTCCCGATGGCCGTTTCAATGAAGGGATATATCGATGTCTCAAAGGACGAAGAACGACACCGACACTAGCTAGGCTCGCGTAGTTGACCACACACACTGGCCTCACCCCAAACCCCCGTGGCGGAACAAAAACATGGAATAATTACATCGCGCGCTTCCTGTAACACATGGACGCAGCTTTACGTAGTAACATCTCGGGCGTTTTGAGAGGTCTCGAATTTGGGGATGAGTTCTGCTCGCTCGTAGCAACGATGGCGTAGCGGAGGCGTACAGACCCGACAAGGGAGAGAGAGAGGCTGCCTAATCGCATCAAATGCCTCGACTTGCATACACACCCGTCACCCGTCTGCTGGGCAGACAAGTAGGTTCGAATAATCTTTGAGCGACGGACGAGTATGGAGCAGTTGCGACGCCTCTCTCGTCACCCCGACCCGCCAAAAATTGCATCGCCGCCAAGGCACTAAGGAACACGCACGGGATTCGAAAGAGATGGCACCATATGGAATTAACAGAGGAGGTTGCGCAGTGGCAACAGCACTATCGGGATTGCAATCATGCTAGTCCACGGTATGGGTTCTACAAAAGCACAGAACCCAGCCACAAAGGCTAGGCGGGGCGTGTACGAGCAGGAGAGCCTACTTTTGTCGAAAAACCAAAAAAAGAGCAACAGAAGGGAGGGGTGCAACCGCCGTGTTCACGGAGCGTAGGGCCTACAATCAACTGTGATTTCACCGGCCATACCTATTGCAAGAAGATCGTGGTCGCTGGGGAGCGTTACAACAGGACACCGGGTGGGCAGGAAAGCAGGGCGATCAGCGGCGGCGGGTGCTCCTTGCGGAACGCGGTGGGGGGCACACAATTCGGTTCTCCCTTCGTGGTGTAGGGGGGGTGAACTTCAGCACGCCTCGGTGAAACCCTTCAAAGAAACAGGGGAAACGGCTGAACCTTTTTTTTTCCGACATTGGACATCAGCACATCAACACCCGCTGTAAAAGAGCTCCGAGACAAACTCAAGGAGATGTGTTGAAGCGTGTTGAAGTTCTCTTTCCTCCGCTCCTCAGGGACGAGCGTGCGGGTGTCTAGGGGGACAAAGCGAAAAGCCTTTTACTACAGTACCTGTACTACATCTCTCCAGGGAGCGTGTGTTTTCGGCTCTCGGTGGTCGAATTCCCTCCAACCGGTTCATCTTCAACGCGAGTATCCAGCAGGGACATCAGGGTAACGAGCGGACACAGCACAGGAGGGATGACACCTAGGAACGACAGAAAGAACCCACTGATGCACCTCGTGGCTGGTGGTGTGGCCGGGGTGGTGGAATCATCCTGCTGCCATCCGCTTGATACCGTCAAAACCAGGATGCAGCTGCGAATAAAAGGCGGCAGCACCAAAGGGCCTCTCCGCACTGCTTCGAGCATCATCACAAAGGAGGGCTTTCTCGCTCTTTACAAAGGACTAAGTGCCGTAATGATGGGTATCGTCCCGAAGATGGCTGTCCGCTTCACTTCCTTCGAGACCTACAAGGAGTGGCTTGGCGCTTCTCCTACCGGAAACAAAGGTGGGTAGTCTACTTGTGGTTGATGTTGCTCTTGATGCTGAGGTGACGAGGTGCACTATTGAATCACAAGTACAGCATTACGGGCACGCGTTCGCACACAGCGGTACCCCCACCGCGCGCCCGTTTCGGCGGGCAGACGGCTGGCCCACGCTCTAGATGTCGTAGACAGGCCAAGACTGCCGTAGTCTAGGCTATAGCTGGCTTGCGATATCGAGGGAGAGGAGGGCTTTTGCGGATACAGCAGTATGCAAAGACTACAGCAGTAGATAGTTCGCAACATATTCTACACACGAGTATTGACAGTCCACACACGGTCTAGTCGCACATATCTGATGCAGTATGATGGGGCACACCGCAGAGATTTTTCCCGGAATTGAATGCAGTGCAACAGCCCGCAAAAGCGGTGGTGCTGCTGCTGTGCCTACCGTGTTTGATACACACTGCTTTCTTGCACACCGACTGTGGAACACGCCGACGCGGCGCCGTTGTCCTCTCCATAGTCCTTCTTGTTATGAACTTTTCTTGCGCATCTTGTAGACTAGTATGCTACATCTTTATCACTTGCAAACAAGTGTAAAGCACAACGTGCAGATTACTGAAGTCTAACAATCTACACAACAGCAGTTGCCAAGCTTTGAACATCCCTTAATAAAGAAGCGAATGGCACATGCTTGGGAGAATGCCTGTACGAGTACGCATGGTTAGACTAGTCACCGTACCCACGCGGGTTGCCAGAGCAGGTTGTATCTGGTGCACAACCTCGCCACAACCCCCCTAGGGTCAGGTTGTACGCCGACGTGTGCAGCTAGCCTCGCGTTACGAATGGCGACGTTGGTCCAATCGATAGGGCGGGCTGACAGTGTAGACTACATGTTGTCCAAGGTCGATCCCCGACGTCCCAACCTAACCCCGGAGAGGAACTTCCCAACCTGACCCCGGGGAAGTTGGGCACTAGTTACAACCTCCCTCGGCCACCCGTGCAGCCAATACTCACTTGACGACAACTGAGCAATCCCAAACAAATTGGGACACCAAGCAGAATGACGCAGCGAGACCAAATGACACAACCAAAAAAAGAACGGCGCACCCCTTCTCGATGTGGCGGTGTGAAAGAGCGATCAAGGTTGGACGGTTCGAGTACCTCTTTCATGACAAGTTGGCGAGCGACGGGCTCCCGGCATAGTACCTGTAGAGGTTCGAAAGGTCAATTTCTCTAGGACAGAGCATGAAATCTTTTCCCGACGTGCTTGGATGTTGATTCTGTACTTTGAAACCCGACTACACCTTGGGTTGTGTGTGAAGGTCTGGTTCGCTGGAAAACACGACGAAGAAGGCGCCATGTTACCTCCTTTTCCTCCAACCTTTCTGTTGTGAAGAATACCGGGCTGTGTTAATCTGCTGCCGGGTCTGTCGGGTGGGTCCTGCCATTCATCGGGTTCTCCGCGCTTTGCATCCCGCTCTCATTGCATTTTTTCCGGGTGTTTTTTCCCGATTGTTGTGGTTCTTCCTGCTGGGCCTCTCTGTGTACGTTTTGAAGAGCAAGGAAGAGAACGTCGTAACGGAAATATACCAGAATGGACTCTAATAGTGAACAAATCAACAACAGCAGCATCTGTAGCAACAGCGCCAGTAACAACAAACAAGATACCGGTCCGAACAAGCGTTCGCGTAGGTACCAATACGGCAACAGACCATGAGGAGAAAAGCATCAACCTTTGTACAGCATTTATTTTTTGTCTTCACTTCAAATTAGTGCTCATAGCACTTGTGCGGTTTACTTCAACCCCTGGTCACACGGAAGGGTTCATCTCCCTGAGGCCTCCTACCCAACCCTCATGCGGTACTTTGCCTCCGATTTAGAATGCGAGAAGACTGTGACACTCGCTTCCCTCTGTGTACATACGAACTACAGTAGCGCTTTCCACCCCAGGCCAGGAACGGGAGCGAGAGAAAACTCACGTTGCAAGAAAGGCTCGCTTACGCCAGGATCCGAACCCCTGACCCTGGCCACCAGAAGGTTTTCGAGGAGACCAACTGGACTACCGGGGCGGCTGGTGACCGGCATACTAACAACAATAAGTCGCTATTCTGCGAGAGAAAGGTGCTAGTCGTGCGGCAAGTGCGATGTGCCACCAAGAAAATGTAGACGCTATCCGTTCGAACCTCTCTCGCTTGCCTCGCTTTCACTGCGCACACGTGGATGAAGCCGATTGGGGCGTCAAACCATATTCCTAGGACAGTCTATGGCGTTGGGTTATCGAAGGAGAGTCAGTACACCTTCAATCACACAAGCGTATGTACGCCTCGCACGCGCCATGCGTCGTTCGCTGAAAGGAAGCTACGCCCGCCGACCGCAAAGGGCCTTCCTTCTCACAACATGCCAGCGTGGCGGTTTCGGTCAGGCCCAACCAATGTCTTCCCGATGCTGACCCTAAAGCAGCTTCCCCGTTCTAGGGAACAACATCTCACTGAAGACCCATCGCTGACCGCCACAATCCCCGACGCGCGTTGGCAGATTGGGACAAACATTGAGCACGATGGAAAAGTGATCATATTTTCTTCAGGAGGGGCTCGTCCCTCCATTGCACCTGCGTAATTTGATTCCGGTCTTGAACATACTCAAGTGGTGGTGATACACACTTCAACATGACTTGGCGCTCATCGAAAGTGTGAGCAGCTTGCACATCGCTTCCCCTACACAAGCTCCCTCTAATAAATTTCTTCCCTTCCACGATTGCTTCTCAGGATTGGTGTTTCTGGCAGGTCTTGGGTCGGGCGTTACGGAGGCCGTCGTGGTGGTAACGCCCGCCGAAGTATGTAAGATCCGCATGCAGGCGCAGTTCCACTCGCTTCTGGACCCGGAGGAGATGGCGCGGCGCAAGTACAGGAACGTGCTGCAGACAGCGGTGGTGGTGGCTAGGGAGGAGGGCGTGGGGGCGCTGTACAAGGGGCTGGCGCCGACGGTGCTTAGGCAGGGGTGCAACCAGGTGAAGTCCTTGGGCAACCTGGCTCTCGCAGTTTGTTGCGCTTGAGGAAGGCGGTTGAGTTCGTCGGTGTATAACCCGTGCTCTGTGGGGACTGACTCCCGAGAAAGATAGCCCACCGTAATATCCCTGAAGCGGGCAAAATCGAGTTAATAATTGGTGGGTAGGCTCTGCTCTAGCTCTCCACTGCTCTGGGGGAGGAAATCTTGCAGGAGGGTGTTGTTGTATGACGCCACATTTGTTGCAGTAGAACGCGCAGCAGGTACCAAGCAGCAACAGGTTGAGTACCCTCGTAGGGGTACTAAAGTGTCACTAGAAGTTCATTAACACCGGGGGGTCGCGTTAGAAAGGGGTGTGCACATTGACGAGGCCCTTCATGCCCCTGTGTCCGGCACTTCTGGGAGCCCCGAGAAAATGTGGGGCTGGGCGTGTTGTGGGTGTGGGAGGCGATTTGGCATAGGGGGCAGGGGGCCAACATCCACCGCATTTCGTTGACTTCCTAGGCTGTGACCACCTGCGATAGAGTCTTTTGCCATTCTCGTCGTCCTCTTACGCCTGTGATAGTTCCCTACGCCTCTCCACCGCCGCCGCCGCCTACAAACTTGGTGTGACGGACGGCATGCCTCCATACCAGGCCGTCAACTTCACCTGTTACCAGATGTTTAAGACGCAGCTGTCGTTGTACACTGGCAGCGAGGAGCTGGCGTCGTGGCAGCACATGCTCCTGGGGGGACTGAGCGGCGGCATCGGGCCGTGCGTCAACAATCCCCTCGATGTCGTAAAAACTCGCTTGCAGAAGCAGGTACGCAATGCCATGGTTTCAACGATTCAGCGGTGTTTTCGAGTTGGTATTATCCCCCGAAAACCAACGTCGCCACCCGGAACATCCTCGGAACCTGGAGCGTGTGTTGTGGAAGGAAACGGAAATGATACACCGTCTTGGCGCTGTGGTTTCGTTGTGTCTATCTCGCCCTAAATTGTTCGCTTCTTGCAGAGGTCAGCAAAAAGCACCCCTGCTCCCACCCCCGCCGTCGGAAATACGCCTGCTGCCATGAATCTCTTCGAAGGTGGTGATCCCCGGGCAGGCGCCCAAGTACGGCGGTTTCATGTCGGGGATCTCGCTCATCGCCAAGGAGGAAGGGGTGAAGGCTCTGTGGAAGGGCCTCACGCCCCGGCTAATGCGGATTATGCCCGGGCAGGCCATCACCTTCATGACCTACGAATGGGTTTCCAAGCGGCTTCCGGCTTCGTTCACGGCTCGCAAGTAACCAAATCC